GAAATGCAGGGAAAATAGCATTTCTGTCAAACAAGAATGACAGATTGACAGTTGGGGCTATTAGCTCGATTGTCAAATGAGTAGCACGACATGTAGGTTTAAGCAGAAGGTATTTGAGTCACAGTTTGCATATAGGAGGAGCAACGGCTGCAATGAAAGCAGGCCTTTCGTTACTACAGATCATGGCCATTGGCGGCTGGGTATCAAATGCAGTGTTATTATATTTGAGAATGATTGCAACAACGCAGATAAATACATCGGAAAAAATGAGATTTTAATCAGTCGACACTTATCAGGCAACGATCCTCTTCAGATTCCCATAGTTTTCTTCATATGTATCTTGAGTATTTGAGCTGTGCAAATTGAATTGATTATATTGTAATTTGAAATGAAATCTGAGCGAAAATAATTAGACTGACTGTGACAAAGGCACAGGAGGGATATTATCGCGAGGATCACCTGACCTCATGATCATGGTCCTAGTGATGCCCAAATGAGAATGATTTTTTTTTTTTTTTTTGCATGATGATAAGGTCACTGTTCTTTTGATCCTATTGATAAGTATAAGTAAGCCACAAATGCAAAGAGGGAAGTTGTGCTTTTCTTTCGCTGCTTTAGTAGTTGCCCGAAACCCTATTTTTTGGCTAATCGAAAGGTTCTTCCCACCCACCTCTCCCCAAAAGAATTAAGTTTAGGTGACTCGCAGCAGAAACACATACCGATGCTATTCAATGCTGAAAAATCACGAGATCACACTAGAGAAACGAGGCAGCTGTGTAAACCCCACACTGCCCTGGTGAAGTAGACCGAAACAGCTGTGAAAACCCCACACTGTTCTTGAGAAGTAGAAGCGAAACAGCTGTGCAAACCCCACACTGTTCTGAGAAGTAAATGAAACTTGTGTACATCCCATGATTTGTTAAAGGAAATAGAATAGGTTAAGGTGTTAAAGAACCGAAGTAGGCGGCGGCAGCACCATTCCCATAGTTTTCTTCATATGTATCTTGAGTATTTGAGCTGTGCAAATTGAATTGATTATGTTGTAATTTGAAATGAAATCCGAGCGAAAATAATATTAATGAGAAATCATATTAAAATTGATATATATTAGGGAATTTTGATATATAAAAATTTATAAAAATTTGTCTCGTGACTTAGGTTGATATTACTGTATTAACGAGGGTCACCTGTAGATACATATTGACCAATCACAGAAAGTTGGACTTTAGTTGATGGACTGGTCGTAAGCACATCACATGCTCAGATTAGCATTGTTATGTCTCTTATATAAGTTCGTATAACTAATTGCTTTATCGATGGATATGTTGGACTATTGGTAACAAATACTGTGTTAATGCTTAAGTAAAATATGTTAGCAGTTACGAATGAGGCAAACGTTAGATGTATCGGTATGTAAAGATTTGTGAAGTGCATCATGCGCATGGGAATATTTCGGAATCTCATAATTCTGACCCGCATTAGCAACATGCTACATAATGCGGGCCAGAATTCCACGCGCATGAAACTTGAAAAAATGCTAATTTGCGCATCACTATCGAAGATACAAGTAGTCATTAATTAGAGCAGTGTTATATAAAGGCACGATTACTCTTTATTCGTTTATTAATGAGTTGCGATCTATATCCATGTTATCTACTGTAGTTAATGAATAATATAACATAAATTGCTATATCTAAGAATTGCATACGTATCTGATATGAACTAACGCTGGCAATTGTGCTACAGTATTGCAACGTCAAGATTAACCCCAATGTAGTACATAAACGAAAATGGAAACAATGGATCAGTTTGATTACGATTTCAAAAATCTACAAGATCAGTCGATTTTTTTCGCGAATTTGTGAAATATCCCAAAGTCAAAAATTTTGATCACTAATGTGCAATACTGATTTTTGTTGAAGTGTGTTAAAGTAGTTTAAATATTATCGATATAAATCAGAGAACATAAAAAAATTTTTTCAGGATTTAAAATTGATTGATTTGACCAAAAATAAAGCATAGGGAAAATTTTATTTGAAAATTTACTCTGACTAAATTCCGATTAATAATATCATCAAAAGTGTTATTAAGAAAACTTACTCAACCTTAAACTTATATTAGTTCAGAGATAGTTCGTTTTTAACATCAGCCGATCCCAGACCAGGACTGAACCATTTAACATGACAATTAATTATGAATTTCATTTTAATTACACATGCCCAATTTCTTTGTGATGGTGTTAATTAGCTTATTGATTCCATGTATTGTAATGGTAAATAGAAAAGTTATTAATAGAAAATTTTCTCTCTGATTGACAATTAAAACTGGACGTAGTTATATGCTTTGAATGCATTACTTCTTTAATTATTAATCTGATTGACCAGTTTACTGTACTGCAAACCTTATTTATCATAATGCTTATTTAGAAAAAGGTTATTTAGACTACCATTGTGAAGTCAGTCGTGAAAAATTGAAATCTCCAGAATCTCCGAGATCAACATGCGTTTTTACTTTATTGAATAACTAACTATATCATGAGTTCAATTTATGCATTATAATAGCTAGTCTCAGTTGTTATCAATTGATTAATTTGGAAATTGGACGTTGAACATTAGGTATACATAAAAGTATTTAAGATGGTTTTTTTTTTTTAGACATATTTTCCTTTATTCTTGGATAATTTGTTAGCAATAAGATTAGTTAAACCCAGACATTATCTTTATACAAATTAACACAGTACGCTTAAATTTTCATTGTCAATAAATTGGTTTTTTTTTTGCTTAAGTGAGTTATCTTTATTATAAATTCAGAGACAACTTTATTTCAAAAATGGAAACCGATAGCGATACACCTACAATGAAAGGATCTGATGATGATTGTCAAGAAACCGATGAAGCAACATATGAGCAAGCCAAAAAGAAACAAAATAAAAATAAAAACAAAAATATGTATAAATTTAATGCTTATCATATGGAAGATGATTCTTATGATAATTATGGCGAAAGTTCATCAAGTAGGGTGCCAATAAATAATAATTTGGTAAATAGGTTTATTTTTAGAATTGCTACGTCTCGTTAACGATATTGAATGCGTAGCAGACAATAACCAAAGTTATTTGATAGTCCCGATCATACAGTAGTAGGGTATCGAATAACTCTATTTATTTTGAAAATTTAAAATAAATCAATAATTTTTTTATATTACAGAGATCAATTGAAAACGAAAACGACATCGAATTCGAGCTTGAACCAGATAAAGCTAAATCTGATAAAAAACAAACAAAACAGGATGGAAAGTATCGAATTACCAAATATTTATATGTAGATGAAATTTTTTATAGTATTCTTCCTATGGAATATCCTATTACATCAGAAAAGGGTGTAGCAATCATATTTAATGTTGATTATGTTAAATCACAAGAAGATGCTGAAAAATTTACCGACGTTGTATGTATGTTTTTTGTTAAATATCAACAAATTTTGATCCTACATATTACAGCTAATATAATATCTTATTTCTTACTCATCAGATACAATATAATTTAAGCAGAAAGAATAAAGAGGAAGTGGTTGATTGTTATTTTTTCAATACCAAGGTCAAAAAATTGGCTTTCGAGTGTCAAAGTATTAAAGCATGCGAATTTTTTCAAGATATAAATAAAGGTCATTGCAATGTTGATATCGATACAGATTTCGAATATATGGATAAAACTCAAGCGTAAGAACTATTCTAAATTTTGATCAAAATAAATTCATATTGGTATATTATCTGTTATTGATTTAAATTTAAAAATAAAAAAAAAATACTTAAAGGCGATATAAAGATAGATCAGTAAGTATTCAAAATAATGTCAAATTTAAATTTTAAATCTATTTTAAAATTAAGTTGCATCTTCTTGTTAAGGAGAAATCATGTGATGGAATATTTACCTATAGCACAAAACGGAATACTTGTGGTAAATATAAAATTTCAATCTATTTGAGTTGCTTAATTTTTTATTTAAATACTAACTATTTTATTTTAGGTTTTAAACATAAATTAAATGGCAGGTCACAAGAAGGGAGTCTTAAAAAATCAGATTGTAATGTAAAGTTCTATAGAATTATACCAACAGATCGAAATATACCTTATGCAATGTTGGTATGCAAAGGCAAACATTCGCATCCACCACCTCCTCCAAATACAACAAATGCACGTATGATGAATATGGCATTTGAATTAATGTTAACTGACCTACCAACTGACATATATATCGATATAAACGCTGATAGATTACATAGATTACTAAGTAGTATGTGTTTTTTTTTTTTTGCTTAAATAATTTTTAATTGGTAATATTAAAAATTTTATAAATAGCCAATTTTATAGGGGCTGTTTTTGGTGAAGAAATCCAAAATGTTTTAGGTGATGAGAATAAGCTTAGAACGTTAATGGGTGATGAGAATAAACTTAGATACTTAATAGCAAAAGCACAACAATCTTCACTTGGTCAAGACTTAATAGGCCTAATATTTAATATTTGGTCTAAAAATTTTTCGGAATATATAAAAAAATTTGGTTAGTAATTACACACTTATTTTTTTTTAGTTTTAGTTATAAAATTGCTAAAATTAAATTAATTTTACAGCTGTCCTAGAAAATGGTCGTATTATGATTATATGTATGACAGAAGATCAAGCTAAAGCATGGCTGAAACTCGAATATTTTGAAATCATTTCATTTTCAAATCAAATCCAAGGAAATATTACCGAATTTGCAATTAATGGTTATGATAATAATCGTAAAATTAGTAAGTTTTTTTTTTTAAAATAAACTTTATACACTATATAATTTAACTTTTATAATCTAATCAATTATTTAAGCTTTTACATACGCTAGAATTTTCACAAATATTACTGATGAAAAGTCCTATGAACGAATGTTTTTGGACCTTTTTAGTTTAATAGAAAATTTAACAAATGAGATGCCAAAATTTTATTATTTGCACAATCAAGGTTGGAAATGCATTCGTGGCAATCTTAATAAAGTGCAACTTGAAGGACTTGGCAATGCTTTGCGTGAAGTGAACTTTGGATCTTTTCGGGAGATTGAACTTAGAAAAATTTATAAATTCTGTAGAAATCATTTCAAAAAGTATGCATAATTTATTTGTGTATTTATATACATATTTGAAGAAATTTTTTAATTTTAAGTTTATTTGCAGAGAAATTGAGAATAGTAATTATTCAAAAAATAATCAGGAACTCATGAAAGAGTTGTTAGATGCGTCAACTGAAAGGAGAAAGCTAATTTCCAAACAATTAAAATTTTCAAATGAAAATGATATTGAAAGTAAGCAATTTTTATTAATTTATCTTAATGTAATATAAGATTTATATTTAACAAATCTTTCATTGTGTATTTCAAATAGATTGGGCTGATTATTATACATCTAATTGGGTAATAGCTTTATTAAACCCCGAAAAATCAGAAATAGATAAAGAAATATGGAATTTATCCCCTGATGTTATAACGGAATCATGCAATGAAAATGCATATCATAACGAAAGCGTAACTTTACTAGATGCAATAATAAAGTAAGCTATTGTGAATCATTATTTTATTTATATTTTTTGTCTTTTTGTTAATAACTATTGAATTTCATTTCAGAGCAAGCGATTATGATAAGCAACAACATTCCGATACGAGCTATAAAAAACCTAATATTGGTAAAAATTATTGTAATATATACGTGTTATTTTATAATTTTCAAATCTTGCATACTTATTATAAATATAAAATTAAAAGTAAATAAAAAACAGGCCAACTTAAAACGCAAATCTAAACAAATGAATATAGAAAATTCTGTTTCTATTCTGCAAGTAATGCAAGAAGACAATATTCCAACTCATACAAATGACGAATCTGAACAAATTAATGACGAAATTCTTTTCTCTCCACAAGAAACATATATTCAACTTCAAGAAGAGAATACTCAAATTCAAGAAAAAAGTGATTTCAAAAAAAGAAAAGTTGAAAACCAAGTTGATAATTCCGAAAATATGGATATGGATATAGATGAAGCTAATAAATTAGAAATAAAATTAATAGAAGAACAAATAGCGTTGTTGGATATTGAAAGTCAAAAAAAGAAGCTTGAAATAGAAAAATTAAGGATCGAGACAAGTAATCTAAAAAGAAGAAGAAATATGTAATTTTATATAAATTTTTTTTTTAGTTTTAGAAGTGAGGTATATAAAATTTTTACTATCTCTAAAAAGAAGAGAATTATATAAAATTGGGCAATAGTTTCTAGTTTTAAGGAAAATGTAGCAATAGGAACGAAAAATAAAATTTAATTAAAAGAAAAATGATTGTGCAAATACGTAATAAATAACTACTATTACTAATAAAATATTATGAAAGAAAAATATAGTAAAATATGAAGCTTGCTATGTATCGCCAATTTGTAGCAATTTCTAAAATATACTATTAAAAATTTTATAACAATAGATCTAATCATCACTGTCGATTTGCAAAATATAGACGCTACATTACTTAAATGTCATCAATTTGGCGGATTTTTGGAATTGGACCCTTATCCAAAACCCCAATCATTTTTAAAAATCGCAAATTTCAGTTAATTAATTTATATAAAATCTGATATATAGAATCCTAAATATAGGTAGGGATTTGAATAACGGTCAAATTCCTCAAATCAGCCGAATTGTAAAAAAAAACTAATTTATCACTTCTTTAATGTGAAACTGAAGATATAATATAATTGAATGCATATTTAAAAGATTCTTGACTGTATAAATTTAGCATAATATAGTGAACTTGGGCTAATATTTCAAGAAAAAAAACACATATTATTATATATAATTGCTTTAATACTTCGTAAATTAAATATACAGTACTACATTCTTGATTTAAGTGTGACAACTACCCTAATATTATAATAATAGTAATAAAAAATCTGATATTTTAAAATGCTATAGAATATTAAAAATAATTTTTAAAAAGTATATGTTGTAATAATTTTAGAAATAATCCACCTTTTGTATTTAAATGCCTTGTTCAATAAGAATAACTAGAACTATTTTCTCGAATTTTCAAGATCATTATGATGAGATTTAACTTGCTTTAATTCTCTATCCTGTTCTGATATTCTATCTAGGTTGTGGTCCAATTTGGCACAAAGATCATATAATGTATGGCCTACAAATGCCAAAGTGATATAAGACTTAATCCAAAGAGATGAAGGACCGTATATTAGAATAAATACCAAATTTATACAAAATATATGTATTGAATTTGGTCTTTGTATTTTTCTTTGTAGACTATTGAATATTTCTAACACATTCACAGATTTTTCATTAAAATATTCATCAAGTTCTTCATACGTTGTAATATTATCTGGAACGCTAAATTTTTCTTGGATATATTGTACGAAAGATATAGTCCCATAATGAAGTAAAATTAATGCAATAATATATGCTAAAATAACAGGAATCAATATAAACAAAAAAGTATTAGAATCAACATAATCTTTTTTCGTAGCCAAAATTAAAAATATTGTATTGAAAGAAATTCCAAATAAATATGAAATAAAACTTGAAAAAAATATAGTATTATATTTAAAATAGCCAAATACCTTTACTAAAAAAAAATTCATAAAAAATGAAAAGGAAAAAGAATATACTAGAATTATAATAAGATATATAATAAAGAAAGAATCTTGAGTTGCATTATAAATTCTAACACAGAACCATATTTGTAAAGATGGCAATATGAAACCTATAATTAACATATTAACAGTGACAGAAATCCTTTTTATTCGTTTTATTGCATCATAGTTTTTATCTTCAATATGTTTTTCGAAAAAATGATCGATGTCAATAGTGATCACTGATGCAATAAGAACAGTGACCATCAGATCGAAAACAGACTCAACAACCGAATCATCTATAACATGATGAAATTGATGTTCTTTAAGAGCATATGCATTGTTAAAAAACAAGTTGACTGTAAATAATAGATCAAAATACTTTGGTAAAGACATTTTAAAATTTTTGAATACGATAAAATTGTCAATTTATTGAATTTATATTTTCTTCATTGTTCAAATATGGAAATTAACTATTTGAGAGATAGTCATTCGATGCAAGAAGTCTAAAAACCACCATTATACTTATAGAATCAAAATACATACGTATTTCTGTATTTTCTTTTTTAATGGTATACTATGGAGAATGTATGTTACACAGTACATTAGTAGGTGATGGTAATTGATTTAGTATGAAATAGCACTCATTCAAGATCTGTTCGTGTAAATTATAAGCTTATTTTAACAAAAATATTTACTCATTTTATAATATTATCGGTTTTGCATAACAATTTGAAACACATGAGCAATCAAATTTTAAGCAATCAAATTCAAACATCTAAGCAATCAAATTTGAACGTCTTAGTAATCAACTTTGAACACTATAGCAATCAAATTTGGACACTATAGCAATCAAATTTGGACACTATAGCAATCAAATTTGGACACTAACTATAGCAATCAAATCTGAACACTATAGCAATCAACTTCGAACACTATAGAAATCAAACGCAGATATAACTTTTTACTAAAAATGTTGAAGCTCTGTAAGTTTCAAATACAGTACTATTAAAACATAAGTACTGCATGAGATTGTCCAAATTTTACTAATAAACCAGTAGCCCATGTAATAAATAAAATTGTCCGGATATTAAATTTTGCTATAGTATAGCCAATTAGTATTATTGCTTATTGCGCTTTTCAAATTACTGTGTCCACTGATTTTCATACATCACACCGGAAATCAGAAATCTAGAATAAATGCA